CAGCAGAGAATCGCCATAGACAAGAACATATCGTCTCTTGTTTTGCTGATATAGCTAGATATATGATACACCAGATATAACGGCCAACCCCATGATATATTATATAATTAAACGCATGTATGTCATGCAATGCCCAACTTACCTGCAGTACATCATTACCAGCAACTGTTTTGTCAATGTGTGCTTGCAGTAGACTCTCGACATCGGCGGTGTCGTCTATGGTGGAGGATTGGCGTTTGCCGCCAATATTCACTCGCTCTTTAGGGTCTCTGTCTTTTTGCTGTGTGTGGAGTGTGTCGATGCATGTGAGTATCGCAGAAGGCTATGTACATAGAAGCAGAGGTATTCGCGTGAGTTGTGCAGTACCCTGGCTAGATGTATTTGCATGGAGATATCTCATAATAACGATGTACATAGTGAGTTAAGTCTGGCGGCCGTTGCTAGGGTGTTGTCTGTGGGATCTGAGCTGTTGTGAAAAGGAGACTCGCGATTGATTGGCTGCGTCTAGAAAATCGAGTGCATATAGCGGTGATCCTATCGTATTCCAGGGATAAGGCTCTTGTAATGCTGCGGGTACGCGCGCGCATACTTCGGAAAAGTGAACCAGATCGTCTTATATATACCCGTAATAATTCTGACGGGACTTTGCAGATATATGTCACAGAAAACGTATACACAGCCATGTACGGCCGTGCACTACCAAACCAAGGCATTTACGCGAGAATTCTTTTAGCATTTGCATGCGGATTGTTAGAAGTATCAGTTGCCGTGCACCTACCGGAGCAATGACCGAGAGAACAAAGCTCGGATCATGTCTATTTCGCCAGTTAAACGTCGACACCGTCAATTCGGGCGTGTGGCAGCCCGGCTGTACGAATGTGCAGTGGTTGTGGGTATGGCCACTGAACACAAACCTGATGGGTTTGAATCGACTGTTTTTAGTGATTTGTATTTCGGCAGTTGGGATTGCGGGTTTGTGGTCAATATTGTAAAAATCCGATTGATAGGATTCGATGCGAATAGTCTGAACTTAATGATCTAGAGCTTCTCGGGACAAATCAGGCACTGGGCCGAATCCTGATAGGAAGATGTGCGTATAGGTCTCCAAGTAATGTTTGAAGCCGATTGAAATGTTAGGCCTATGTGATGTTGAATTAAACTCAGATCCAGTCTTTAATGCTCAGAATGGTGAGACCTCCGGATGTTCCGAGTATCACCTGGTATAGCGAGACTAGTACTTTATCAGTGTACACAAGTTGGGACACGCACACACGCGCTCGTCCAGGTATAATGGCCAATGGTTGTCTACACTATCACAAACGATATAGTAGATGTATCTGCCTATCATAACTCTATGCAATAATGTATACATATATAAATATCTGTAAAGGAAAGTGCTATAACAGTTGAAGTGTAGGCAGAGATACATTTTCGCGCATATCATATGAACTATGAGCTCTACACATTATTTTCCTCGTTATCATAACCCCCGACATTCAGATAGTATAAGCATGTGAAGTTACTCGTACCCGCTGGGTGAATTGGCTTCACAACCCCACTCACACTCACATAGCAATCGACTGTCGCGCAAAAGTATAGACAATTATGAATTCAGATACCAACTACCTTGGTTTCAACACTTTGGTCAGATGCTTGGTAACATCCATCTTCAATACATCAAACCCTGCCTTATTCCTCGGCGGACTGGTGTACGATTTTGGGGGTCGAATGCCCATAATGGCCTGTCGTTCGCTCTCGGGCGCGCCCATAGCCCACGCGATCTGTTTCTCATAGAGCTAATCACCGACACAAAGTACGACAAGGTGTTCAATAGAAGAACCTGTCTTGGTATATCGTGATTCAATGTGATATGGTACAATACTTTTTAATTTGTCTTTATCCTTCGTACGAGGTCGACTTAGTCTCATCTGATGTGCCGCTAGTATGGTGTGTGGTGGCATATGAGTTGCTGTTATATGATGTGGTTTGCTGTGATGTAATATGTGGTATAGTGGGTTCGTACCGTTCTCACGCGAGCGGACGTTGCTCGTGATGGTGTGACTGTGCTATAGACTGTGGCGGTATGGGAGTCCAAGTTGTATGAATTGATTTGATGTGATTTAAATGTGATACGATATGCGAGTTTGTTCAATTGCACCTTCAGCACGTGCTCTGGATTAACTTCAAGAGCTTAACTTTCGTTGGGTTTTGGTTGTACACGAGTTGGTGTGATACTATGTGATGTAGTGTCAGTATAGAATACTAGACTCAGATTATAGTGTCAGTATAGAATACTAGACTCATAGAGCACGAGATGTGCTAGGTGATACGAATTGTGCTTCGCTATTATGGGGTGAGGTCTGATTCGAATACAGTGTTCTTGTCAACGGGAGGTTTCGGATACATGATAAAACATAATACGTGTTATAATGTGATGTGATGTACCTGCAAATACTGAGTTCAAAGTTGGCAAGCTATACCGTGTTCTGATGAGAGATAT